TCTCACTATGCAGTTCAGGCTGGCCTCGAGCTCACTTTGTAGCTCAGACTGGCCTTGAACTCGGATGATCCTCCTGCCTCAGCTTCCTGAGTGCTGGGATTACAGACATGTGCCACCACGCCTGGCTAGGATGTCTAGTTCAAAATACTTACAGGATTCTCATGATATAACCCACTGTTCACTTCTCCACTAAAAATACAATTAAAGGGCTGGGAGTGACTCTCAGGGAGAGTGCTTGTCTAGCATGTGCAAGGCCCTGGGTTCGATCACCAACACACAAGAAACAAAAACTAAAAATAAAGATGCCTTTCTTGTACGTGTTTGGGTTAGCTTCTTGCCTTGAGCCTTAAAGTTAGAAAGACTCAACTTACATTTCTTATGTTACTTTGTAGCTAGAAAACAGAATAACCATGTAACAGGGAATCACTTCTCGAGCTTCTTTACAGACACTTGCACCGTGTTTACTCCAAGTGTCTATTCTGACTTTTCCCCTAGTGCTGAGAACTGAATTTATGATGGGCGAGTACAGTACCACTGAGCTTCATCTTTAGTTCCTTTTCTTATTTTATTTTGATGTAGGGTCTTGCTAAGTTAGTTGCCCAGGCTGGCCTTGAACGTGTGTTTTGTTTTGTTTTGTTTTGTTGAGATACGGTCTTGGTATGTAGTTCAGGCTGGCCTGAACTCACTATATAGCCCAGGCTGGGCTCAAACTCGCAGTGATCCTCCTGCCTCAGTCTCCAAGTGCCGGGGTTACAGGCGTGCACTACTGTGCCTGACATAGCCTTGAATTTGTGATATTCCTGCCACAGCCTTCTGGGTATCTGGGATTAGAGGTATATATATGACTATGCTTGGCTCTAGGTACTTCTGAAGCTTTGTTAATCCTCATAATACCTTTTGGAGTTGGTACTGTTATCCCCTAGGGAAACTGAGACATAGAAAAATTTGCCCAGGGTCACCCACTGAGTGGGAGATCTGGAATTTGAACCCGTGTTATCTGACTCCACAGCCCGAGGCTCATTCCTACTGTCCTTTTGTACTAATTGAGTTGACGTCCCTGGACCCAAGACCACTGTTCTGACAAAGTCAGGGAGAGTGCCTTTGGTACCTGGATAACTCCAGGCAAGTAGTACTACTTTCCTCTTAGTAGCTTTGAGAAAAATTATCTAGTAAGTGCTTGATGGCTTGGAATGTATACCAAGTGCTTGAGCTTGGATGCATTTAGAATGTGAGGAGTAAGCACCTATCCCAGCTGTCCACGTAAAGCTTACCAAAAGGTAAAAGAACATGGATACTTCACGTCTGTAGTGCTCCTAGGGTGCCAATTTGGTCACATTTGATCCTCACACCAGCTCTGAGGAACGGAGGATAAGTATCGACGGAGACCACCATGAAGCAGCCCTGAGCAGGACTTAAATGAATCAACTGGCTTTTATGTTTACTTGTGAATCTGTCCAAAGCCCTGGGCACTTGTGTGGAAGTGGACAACAGAGTCATAGTAAGTGAACCTCTGGGTCACTAATCCCTACTAAAACCTGTAAGGGTGGATGAAACTGGAAAGCCTTAAGGGATAAGATCACAGCCAAGGACACCTGGATCCATCTCAAGATAAATATATAAATATAAAGATCACAGATAAAGACTGTGGCCTCAGGGATCTCACCCCTGGTAGATTAACTTAATCCTTATGAAGATTAACAATTCCTTACTTGAAGAAGTCCTTGAGTGATTCTACCCTTCTGAGTACTCCTCTTCTTTCTCCTGATAACCAAATAATTACAGGCCACCCTGAGAAGGTCTTGGACTTAGCCCTGAGAGAATCTAGAATTCTGTGAGAGGGCTTTGATCCTCCTGGAGCCCTGAAATCATTCCCTTTGCCTCTTTTTATTTAGCCTTTGCTGTACACTCATTCAGGAGATTGTGGACCTGATCAGCCTGCGATAGCTAAGGGGTATTATTAACCTGATAAAGTATTAATAGTTTCATTTTACAAATGATGCAACTGGGGATCAGAAAGTTCGAGTAACTTTCTCAAAATTTCTGATAGTGAGCAACCGTGCTAGTGTCCTAATCTAGTGCCCCTGGCTCTAAACGCAGGGATCTTTCCTCTATACTTAATCCTTTTCCTGCAAGCTGAACTTCCGTTACCTTGCCAACAGCAGAACATTGAGTATCTGGAAACCATGGTACTGCCTTCTCTCTGTGCCAGCAAAGGTTCAGCCGAGGGCACCTTAATTACACGTCCCTGTGTCACAATCCCGTCTGTAGTGTGTTTCCCTTAAAGTAGCACCTCTGTCAGTAGTCTAAGCTTTGTCATTGCTTGTGATGAGCGTCTTGGCAGTAGATGAGGTGTGCTGTCTGTTCTGATTCTGGTCCAGTTATCACGCTTCTCTTAGTCCCGAGAAGCAGGTATGAAGCAAGAAGCCCGGGGGAGCGTGGCCTGGAGTGGGGCCTTTCCTCCCCCGGGGGCCCCTTGGTGTTTGTCTCTCAGCTGCTTTTGTGAGAGACGGCTACTGGGCCCACGGGAGGGGCCTTTGCCGCTGTGTTTAAAGCAACACTCTCGACTTGTTTTGGATAAGATTTAGTTTACATGTTAGAAAACAGCCATGCAATGCCTTACAATAAAGCTTACAGCGGACGGCGCACTCACCTTTCATCCAGGTATAAAAGGTCAGACGTGTGATCCCATCCCTGAACTCCAAACGGAAGGCCGGGTAAGACGCTGCCAGCAGGGGGCACTCTCTCCTACCAAATTCGAAACGTCTCTATGAGAAAAGACAAACGTTCTTATTCCCTGGCCGTTCCTCCCTCAGAATGATCTTAGACGCAAACTTCGCCAGACTCAGCCCAACTCTCCCCTTCTGTGGAGGTTTAGCCGCCGATACCTGTTTACACACTGCGGTACATTTGTACCACTTTCCACAAAGGGTTTGACACTGCTGACAAATACAGCATACGGTAGTTAAATGCCAAGAAAGAGAGAGAATAAATTACCCTGAATGTATCAGATTTGATTCAGGGCTGCTGGTAGCCGAAGGGTTTCCGGATGAAGGGAATTTGCTCACTTAAGGGCAAATTTCTTCTGTCCTTCTCGGCCTAACCTAATTTATAACGTTATTCCTGCCCTAAAACACTAAGCAGGAGGGACTGGGGATTTAGCGCAGCGCCTGCGAGGTCGTGAGTTCGATTCCTAGTACCGGAAAAAAAAAAACAAGAAAACCAAACCAACAAACAAAAACCCACACCACTAAGCAGTACTTTAGTACTCTGCATCTTGAGGACTACTTACACCAGGCTCGTGTCAGCCTATCAGCTTTACCTCCGTCTCTCTGTCCCTCTGTTCTCTCCGGAGACAGGGCCTCTATGCTCTTCAGACTGGCTGTGCAGCCCGCAGGGTGGCCTTGCTTTTACCTCTTAAGATGCCCTCCGCACCCGCGCAGGACCGCAGGCTCCCGGGCGTCGGGAACGCGAGCTCTTACGGCGCAGGAGGGCGTGCGGCGGCCGCACGCGTGTAAGAATCTCCGGCGTCGGCCTTCGGCCGGCGGGAGGAGCTCGGGTCCCGCTCAGCACGGAATTAGCTGCGCCCGCGCTCAGTGTGAAGCCCGTCCTGCCGCGGCTCTGCACAACGGTCGGCGATTTCCCCGCGACCCCGTTTCCAGCGGGACGCGCGGATCGGCGCCCGCGGGGCCGGGAGGGGGACACAGACGGCGGGCGCCCGGGCTCCGGACCCGGCC